ATGTATGTTTCTAGTGGGAAAATTATGAAATATATCGCATCAAATCCAATTATTTTTTCTCCTAAATCAAGATTATGAATTTTCCAGAAATCATCCAGTCTGGGCAATATTAAAATCAATCCCTATGGTGCCATGTTTTTAACAATTTTGATGTTCTGCACTGTAGAAAGTGCTACAATCGTCACCTGCTCAGTCAAGGAGAGTCGCCGAGTCGCCGGCACAATTTCGACTCCAGAGTTCCACCCATTATGTTCATGTTTTAAACATCTCCTTATTTTTAACCCAATTTCAACTCCATAAAACCAATTATAACGTAATTTCTAGGGGTTTCCCCGGAAAAGACAGAACGGCTGGGAACTGCGCATCACCCCCTGTCAACGATAATTTACTGTTTACGAATTACACAATGAAAAAGAAATGTGGGAAGGTGTGACCTTGATAGAATTGAAGGTCATCGCCTTTAAATATAGGGTTGGAAGGGGAAGCGGGTTCGCGGCAGTCCCTGCTACCATTATAGGAACAAATGGATCCTTGATGTATTGATTTTCATGGATAATTCTGTTAAATTGTCCCACTCTGCTTTGCTTCACACTATATTTTTTCCATGATTTATTCCTATTTAAAGTCAACACACTAATCTCGTGCAGGTTTTAGATAGATTTCGTGTGATATTTCATCATTTTCTTTCCAACAATCAAGAAATTTATTTTTTGTAGGATCACAGAACAGTCTCCCAGGATTTTATTGTGGAATGGTTATAAAGTAGCCAATAAATTCTTCATCACACTTTCTGATTAAACCTTTGAGACTAGAACAACATTACACAACAGCATCACTCAGACAAAAATATTCTCAAAATATCGAAAATTAAGTGGATAATGCCTACACATGATTGGGTAAAAACAAGATCCCCCGTAGGTACTGGTAGACACGTTTATCGACTAGAGATATCAACAGTTAGCTGTGTTAACAGTAACCCTCGCTGCTAACACATTTACTGTATCATAATTTTCTTCCACTTTATCTCATCTTTCCTTTAATATCACACATCAAAATGTTTCATTAAACTCTGGTCATGTATTCTGCCACTCTCCATCATATCTTGACGCCTCCTTACCCCTCCTCTTATCTCAAAGTTTCTCTCCAGGGGGAGGGGGTTTAGAGAAGAGGGGTGGGGAAAAGAAATGACACTGAGCTGTGCTTTACTAATGGAAACAAAATTTATTCAAATCCTAAATGAAATGTTTTTCAGGAATCAGAAGTTATGCCGTGTAAATTTTCCCTCTGGAAACCTGACCTGCAGTTATGTGTTACACAGGTAGGGAAGATAATACACAGGTATGTCAGACATGAAGAGAAGATAATAGACAGGTGTGTTACACAGGTAGAGAAGATTACACTCTGGTGTGTTACACAGGTAGGGAAGATAATACACAGGTATGTCAGACAGGAAGAGAAGATAATAGACAGGTGTGTTACACAGGTAGAGAAGATTACACTCTGGTGTGTTACACAGGTAGGGAAGATAATACACAGGTATGTCAGACAGGAAGAGAAGATAATAGACAGGTGTGTTACACAGGTAGAGAAGATTACACTCTGGTGTGTTACACAGGTAGGGAAGATAATACACAGGTATGTCAGACAGGAAGAGAAGATAATAGACAGGTGTGTTACACAGGTAGAGAAGATTACACTCTGGTGTGTTACAATGGTAGGGCAGATAATACACAGGTATGTCAGACAGGAAGAGAAGATAATAGACAGGTGTGTTACACAGGTAGAGAAGATTACACTCTGGTGTGTTACACAGGTAGGGAAGATAATACACAGGTATGTCAGACAGGAAGAGAAGATAATAGACAGGTGTGTTACACAGGTTGAGAAGATTACACTCTGGTGTGTTACACAGGTAGGGAAGATAATACACAGGTATGTCAGACAGGAAGAGAAGATAATAGACAGGTGTGTTACACAGGTAGAGAAGATTACACTCTGGTGTGTTACACAGGTAGGGAAGATAATACACAGGTATGTCAGACAGGAAGAGAAGATAATAGACAGGTGTGTTACACAGGTAGAGAAGATTACACTCTGGTGTGTTACACAGGTAGGGAAGATAATACACAGGTATGTCAGACAGGAAGAGAAGATAATAGACAGGTGTGTTACACAGGTAGAGAAGATTACACTCTGGTGTGTTACAATGGTAGGGCAGATAATACACAGGTTTTACAGACTGGTTAAGTTTATCCATCAAGTGGTCAGAGCAGATATTATTAGTCTTGCTTTCTAAACTTTTAAATTTTGGACACTAAAAGATCGTGCTTCAGGGAGATTTTTAAAATGTCGGGAATTTTTACTGTCAACTCCTTCAAATTTAAAACTGAGAAAGTTTTAAAAAATGAGATAATTAAACAAAAAGTCACAGAATTATGATTTAGAAGAACAACTGGGCTTAAATAAATCTCTTCTCACAGCAGGATATATCAGTATTTTAGTCAGAAGGGTTCTCAATATCTATCCATGGTTTTATTTTGTTTTGGTTGCAGACTAAGACAAAATAAAATGACAGATAGATAGTCAGAACCCTTCAGACCAGATAATATCAAAATACAAAAGCCATAAGACCAGACAGATATAGGTTTTAGGACATCTAGGAGGCACTCGCCTTAACAGCTATCTTATCACTGCTGTTTCTCTACACAAGATACATCACAGCGTACATCTTCATTCAAATCCTTGGAATATTAGTAGTAAACTGAATTAAACTAATGAAACCTTTTTCAATTATAGCCATTATTTTGAGTCTGCCAAGTGTCATAATGTAATGTAACTAATTACTTAGTAAATATAGAAGTGTATATATGATGCTAGGTAAGCTATGATATCAGGGGCCCACCTACTAAATGATCCCTCCAATCCCTCCCCAGCCAAACCTAGTCACCCTGCTGCCAACACATATTCTCTCACACATGCTACCTAATGCATTCTGCTATATTTAGATCTTCTATGATGAAATTTTCATCTTAACACAGACTTTTGTTAATTAGAGTGTGTGCTTGTGAATGAAACACTAAATGGGAATTTCTTGGTTTTTAACAGATTATATTTATTATAACTATCACATCAGTTATTGAAGCATTTTCTGAATTGATACTTAAATCATAAATAATACAACTATTTATTGATTTATTATTACTATTATTTATTTCAGGGTTTTTTTTATACATATCTTCACTATTGTATAATATCAACTTTTTCTCATTAATATTGTTGTTAGGTTTCATGCAGACACAAGGTTTTGAGTTTTTAAATGGCAAATATTCCAAGTTTCGCTTTTTTATATAAATATATAATACACTGTTTTGGTTAAATTCTTCTGTCCTCCCCTCTGAGGCATTTGTATCACCAGTAGCATATACTGGGCCACTGTCTGTGTTCACTGTGATCATGATAATATATATTAATTTTCATGTTAAACTTATTTATAAATCTGGATAAGAAAACAGGCCATGCATGTGTTGAGAGTTTTACTGATCAACTTCCAACAGGAAATCGAGAAGTACTCCAAAATTTTCAGATAACAGCATTACATTTTAACCTAATTTTTAAGATTAATAAAGTCTCTAACAACGGGACATGGTTTATTTTCATCCATTAAAATTACTTTCATCACTAGCACTTTTCTTACTGGAGTAGACACAGAGTCTTGTTCTAACCTCACTCAACTCTGGCCAAGTCACGTTTTAAACCCATCGCCAATATCACTCTGTTGTAAACGTTTATAATTTACATCTGTAATGTCCCTGACTGGTTTTAGTACACTCTATCTATTATTCATGAGAGTGACTTTAGACTTCAGCTGACCTTGTGATTATAGTGTTGACCCATTAATTACCGCTAATCTTGGAGAAACTCCCATCAAACAGTCCAACTTATATATGTTGCTGATGCTGAAAGATCACAATTACTTGACCTCTGACCTTTGTCAGTGATCATAACCTGCTATTGGGCCAGTGTTGAATGATCCAGTAATCCTACTGTAAGCACCTGGTTCCGAGAGCCTCCTCGTAAGATCATTCATTCTCATCAATATGCAAATGAAGTCTGAAGTATTCAATTTGGTATGTTTACATGGACAGGAAGCTGACCAATTAAGACAGGAATATAATTCCCGACCACTTGAAATATGGTCAAGCATTTCTGTTGTGGTCAACCATTATATTGTTACAAATTAATGATAGGTTTCTGCCCTCCTTTGATGAATTTCCCTTCCATGTTAAGGTTGGAACTGAAATCCTTGTAGTATGATCTTTGGTTGTATATAAATCAGCTCTCTTTCAACAGGGACCATTTTAATTCAATTATCACAGTATGGACGGTATACTTGCATATTATTCAACATTCCACTGTTTTGAAAAAAAAAAGGTTTTGAGGTGAACTTGGTGAGAGAAAAAACTATTCAAAAGTTAAAAATCAGTGTTTAATGATAGTTTTTAAAATAGCACTTTGTTTGAAGTTAGAATATCCTCTGTCTTTTTGGATATAAATTTGGGAATTCTCAGCACCTATCACTGAATGTGATAGGAGGGTATGGATATCATTACACTCTCAAAGGGATTTCCTATATTCTCAGATATTTTGATGCGATAGGGTGTCTTTTTCTGTCAATTCAGGATGTTTGGGGTCTGTAGATAAGGACGGACTACATGGGTGAGCTGATATTTGGACATTTAGGGTCTGTAGATAAGGACAGACTACATGGGTGAGCTGATATTAGGACGTTTAGGGGTTTGTAGATGAGGACAGACCATGGGCAACCCGATGTAATGTAAGGATATTTTGGGTCTATAGATAAGGACAGGCTACACAGGTGACCTGATGCAAGATAGATCAACTGGTTTTAACATTCAATCTATTTTTTTTATTTTTTACACAATAAAATTTTCAATCTCAGCAAATTTTAATGAGAGTTTGAAATATGAAAGTCTACTCACCGTTAGCCGTTACAAATCCCAGGGTCAGTAGCACCAACACTCCCAATCTGTCCATTCTAACCATGGTGCTTCCTCTCCGAACAAATCTGTAAACAGGAACGACTGATATTTAAAAAATCTCCTATTTATAACTCCTAAGTGTTTGGACAGTCCGACAGTTCAAAACTTCAAAACATATGGCTGTGTCCATGAGTTTTGATTCTGCTGACCTTGGTGTTGGAGTTGAAATAAAGTTTTCACAGCAAGACAGTGTGTTCATACGCTCAACATTCGACATTATAAAATAAAACACATGCTGAAATCGTCCCGATCTTGTCTTCAGCAATCTGTATCCATGACAAATTGGGTTTTACGCGCAAACACAAAAGCCTAGCTAGCTACACTAGGCTGCAGTAGTAGTGTCAAGTTTTGATGTTTTTGATAACGTCAGAATGATTGGAGATTGAAAACCCGCACGTGCTTCACACCAGACTTGTGAACAAAAAAATGAAAGAATGTGAAATGTACATGGTACGTAGTGAAACTGACATCACGAGAACTTGTTAGCAGTGTCGAGGCCTGTCCGTACACTTCCGGTGTTGTTTTTTTTACTATCAAGCTAGATGTTCCCGTAGTTGTCAATCATCGCTTGTATGAATATTCCATTACATGTCGGCCCCTGCTCTGTTAGTTTTGCTCCAACATCTTCCCATGGCACTCCAATCTAAGCATTCCTAGATAACCCCGAGTGTAATTTCTACTTGTACTGTCCGTCATTGGCCATTCTATGTATCTGTCCAGTACTGGACCGCTTGTTTAATTCCCATTATAAACATGGCCTTTGACTTTATGAACATTTCGTACAACCTTCTTTGTTGAAATATATTTACATTTGGTTATATTCTGCATTGCGTTTTAGCACAGTACATCCGATGAAACTAGTGAACACAGAAGCCGCATTTTACTGGCAAAAAATCCAACCGACAGATTATTTCTAAATTACAGCAATCTTTGTCAACATGTTTCTGACATTTTCTGAATCGTTTTGATATGTATGCAACATGCCCGTTTTGTATATATACTTATCGAATCAACGCTTGAAGACCTAGTCTGCTGAGAGAGCGTAATGAATTTCCCGTCCCTGCTAATAGCAAGGCCACATTAGACCATTAACGCCCGGCTCCGTCCTCCCCCGCTAAGGGGGCTCATGCTGCTTTCTGGCTGACACGGGACCGTATAATTATTTTCTAGATATTCTTCATCATGGCTATAAAATATTATATTTTAGTCAAGATTTGAAGGAAAGTTAACTTGAGATTTTAACAGGAAAACACAGCACGTGCGATATTTTTGTATGGTAATGTTTACGCTATCACGTTGACGGCGAGGGAGTACTTCAAGCCAATTCAAGTGTCGAGACTTGCGGCTTTTCTATCCAGCCATTCGCAATTGGATTGAAAATGACTAGCGTACATTTTTTTAGAAAGATATACACATTTTTTCATATCACAACACGGATTATCTACTACTTACAACTTTTCTTAGATTATAAACACATTTTTTCTTGTACTTATATCAGACAAACCTCGAGCTGAATTAAGTAAGAGATAAATAGTTACAAGTGACGTGTTTATAAATATATTTTCTATGTATACAAAGACCTCATCTCCATCACAAACCCACGTGGGAAAAATCTAGAGTCGTATACAAACTAGAGATCGAAGTCACGACCACAACCGAGATGAACCCTGGCTCATAATCGATCTTCTGGTTTTAGAATAATCATTACATTTCATTGGCTATCGTCTACCAGGCATGGAGCGATTGCTGAAGAAGACAAATATAAACACGAAATCACTTTAAATCTGTTTACAACTGTATCATTTTCTGGTGCTTGAATTCAATCAAGTTATAATGCCTATGAATATTAAGATGCCGGGACCAGAATACGTCTCTATACGCTACAGACCTAGCTTATTGAATTTCGGGATTGAATGTCGACCGAACTCCAGCACCTATGTGGTATGATCATTGTGTTTCCTCAATGGAAGAAAAGGAAACCGATTTAATATGGTTTTTATTATAAAGTGCACCGAGTACAGTATATATGGACTATTGGTGGCTGTTTACGAACGATGTCTTTTTCATTGAGTTTCCCCGTGTGTGTTCGCTTTATACACACGTTTTATAAGCGTGTCTGATTATTATTATTTAGGTACACACTAAAAACTTATCAAACATTTTCAAAAGACTCTTGAATAATTATCAATTATAAAATCAAACACGTTGTATGATGATTTCAATCGCAGTCAATTATGAATTCATTTGAGCTGTATTTATTGATTTTCAAATATCTAATTCTAGGTCTGAATCTTTTTTAATTCAGTTAAAGAAACTCCCTAAGTTAAATTGGATGACTAAATCATGTGGTTTTAACATGTTAACTAAAGGTATTTATGACGTGATAATCTCTTCATCATTCACCCTCCCAATAAGTAGCAAACTCGTCCATTACCTAAATATAATGTGGTTAGGTGATCAGAGGCATGTATCGGTGACAATATGAAAGAAAAACAGAAAAAAAATACCCGGCTTAAAATTTCAGTTTTGACTTTAATTCATTTATCAATATAATGCCCTAAAATATCAAAAGGCAGACTAAAATCTTATTTCAATATAAATTGAATTTCTAAACTGAATATAATACAGTGTTTATTCCTTTCGGCATTACAATTTGTATTTTGATCGATATAAGTTATAATTATGCCGACGTAGTTAGCATTATTTGACGGGTCTGCCCCGGGTCAAAGTTTTCATCACGGGGTCATTTCCTCCTACAATTATCGTTATCGAAGGCGGTCTGAATCAAATAATTTCGCCCGGGAGAAATCGAGCGCGAGGTAATCAGATTCTATTAAGGTGGACACAGATAGATAAAAGGGCGTTAGATTAAACCGATCAGCTGATAATTTTATAATGAAAGAACTCCCTTAAAATCACGTCTTCCTGTCATGTCGCCCAAACACTATATAACAAAGACTTAGAGGGGAAAGGAGCCTGTGTGAACGCCCTCTACATTCTCTAACTCAAGAAAACATTTCTAAATTTAGTCAATTTTCAGCGTCGTGTTACAATTATTATGCGATTGGGTTAGCTATTCATAAACACAGCCTTTATTTTTGGCATTACTATGACCAGGAATAAAATTAGTTCGTCTCGGTACGTTAAAATTAAGAACTTGAATCAGTCTTATTTTCTTCTCTAAATTACCATCTTCTGAAAGTTATATCGCAAAACAAATTATCGTTAGGTCAACACATTGCGGCAAACTTTTGCAATTCATTCTTTGGCTTTAGTGAATTTAATCTGCTCGTTGTTTCACTTAGTTTTAATTTGAATAAAAAACTCAGTTATCATCTTTAAAAATCCGATATTGCGGGATAATTTTACCGTCTTACCGGAAACACCTGTGTCAGGCAGTGTTATAACGATAACAAGACGAATCGGTTGGGTCCATTTATATTCTAGTTTGATCGATTACATAAAGTAATTATAACAAGGCCCAAGACAGGAGCGGCACAAGATGGACTGATAAAACACGTGATAAAATGATCATATTTTTATATAAACAATCAATAATTAGGAAAGAAATTATCGATGAAAATACTGTCTTTTTAGGATGTTTAATCTCGTGTAAAGCCTTATTTATCTGAAATGAGGACGTAACAATTTTATAGCCGTGACGTCAAAAAGGTAAAAGTTTGATATCAAAGGTAAATGTCAGCACGTGATTGATGGGTCCCTATGTATGTAATAAAACTATAGATCTACAGACCGCGTGGCCCCAAGTAAAAAAATGTTGTTTTCATAATCACCGAAATATAGAACACTCCTATCAAAATTTAGAGAAAATAAAGTTTTTTCTTATCTACGTAAAATTATATCTCAGGATTTTCAGGCTCTCAGTTGATAATTGATAAAATCTTTGTAAATATTAGTGTAGACCATCAACACGATATGACCTACAGTTAACAACATTGACTTAAAGCTTTTAATGAATGTCTAACATCGCAAATTCAATAGCGTTGTATATCACGTACAAACAATTCTCATTAATACGCAGACTATAGGACAAGTTTCTAATTAAATCAGGACCAACAGTTAACATAATAGCTCTTCTGTTAGTGAAATATATTTGTATTTATAAAATAAAATTCTTTGAAATAAATACGTATGATTACCTTGTATAAGTATTCCACTGTCCTTAAATGGCGTCCTTACACTGTCATTATAATCCTATATCAAAGGCCACTCGTGTTAAATATCCAGCTTTTATAATCCTCGTCATTTCACAGACAATCTGACATAATTGCTACTATAACAGATAAATTACACTACAATAAACGTCTCTCTATAATAAAATATAAAGATCACAAAACATCCCTGAATCGTCTGCCGATACGCGATGTGTATCCCTCCACGACGTCACTGTACTACGAGAGACATTGTAAGGCTGAACCGCTCGCTATAAAAACTCGACACTGACTGGCTACCGCTGTAGCGTACACGCTTACTTCTCTCTCTTGGTGGTCAAAGCGGAAAATTCGCAATAATCACAGAGCGCAATAACAGAGCACACTCGCCTCTCCCCTCCAACAGGACACGTTAATGAAGTCGTCTGTTTATCTTGATACCAAATATTGGGTCAGTCCCATTGTCACCCATGGGGGACAACAGAGTCGTAAAATAAATATTCCTCTTGGGTGAAATGAAAATATATGACGTTCAACTGTTCAACCCTTGAACCGTTAAATAATAAATTATTGTTAGACCTAGTCTACCAAACCACAATTTCTGTCGAGTAATTCATCAGATCAAATAGAAAATTATTATTTTTCTGTCATATACTTGCTATTTCAGAGAGCATAACAAGTAACTTCACAATGTTGTTTTTCAAACTGTCTAAAGAATCTTCAAAAACAACTGATTATCACTCTGTGTATATAAGCTGTTTAGGTAGTGATAAGAGTAAATTGTTGTGTAGACTCAGTGGCTTACATATAACACTAGAAATAACTTCTTTTAAAAAACCGATATGTCAACGTCTTTTTAATGACAATAAAGCCAGAAAACACTATCACAAAACCGATAAATTGTATACATCCACAACGGCTATACGTTATATCAAGATTTTATCGTCTGTTCTCTCTTGTGTGCGCTCTTATGGAAAAGCAAAATTGGATTATTCAGTTGATATCAGAATAGCATTGTTATTTGTTAATGTATACGAGTTGGAGCGAATTTAGTCAATTATGATTTCAGATAATCAGTTCCATTAGGCGCTCTTACCAAAACATTTGTCCATTTCAAAACGGTGGGAAATGTCAGGACGCATTGCCCGTCAGTTAAGTTTCCACTTGGGAAGGGACAAACAACTTACCAGGCGTAAATTCAATATAATATGCATATGAAATCATCATCAGCGGCTACAGCTATCAACGTGGAGAGACCGTATCTAAACACCTAATATAACTACAAATCTTACACAAAAATCCGATATATACCTAAAATATAAACATGGTTAATATTTAAAGTGTTCTGATGACCTTGATGTCATACACTAAGTCAAGCGTGTGCAGGAGGTAGATTTTGTCGTATTTTTCTGTTATTGCCGATGACATGCCCGATAAGAAAAATGGATGACACAATTATTATAATTATTCAATGAACAGGTTTTATGAGATTTAGTTATTCCGATTTCGTTTATGATATACACCTAACTCTCGTCATTGCTTGTCATTCATGCAAATTTTCTCGCTATTGAAAATGACAATGTAGCCTGCAGGCGTATGCGTTTGCCGTTTATCGGAAAAATAATTAAATTTTATGTGTATTTTTTACAGATAACGGCCTGCAATGACAATAGGGTTCAGGTAAAATATGAAGAACATGTAAAATGGCTGTGAAAAGTGTCTGTGTTTTCGTCTCTCTGTAGAGACAGTCATGAAATAATTACTAAAAAAAAAAACGTCCAAAGCACAGTAACGGTTATCTCCCTTCGTGAGAGTGCGTTGTCTCCCTTAGCTCGGTCTTTGTGATTCGTCTTGCGATTTTAAGGATTTATTCTAAACCTTTATGAATTGTGTTGGGCATGCGTAAGATTAGCGTTGATCTGCGAATGTCATTGTGGAGATCGCCATCGTGAACACAAGACCGGGACCGAAAATTACAGCCCTAGATCGCTCATTTATTATCTCAATTACCCCTGCAAAAGTACAGGACCAATTAATGTTACTTGGCTCGAGCCGTCCCCGAAGGTCTTCCATGACTATCCCGGTAACCCCGACGTCTCGAGAATACGGTGGTTCTCCCTATTATTCAATTTTAAAAATGTATAGGGCTTTTTCGTCAGCTATAATTGCAGCCCAGTGCCTCACTTAGGCCGTGATCTATGCCGTCTCTGCATTGACTCGTGACAAAACGGTTCCCGGTTTTCACAAAGGCTCGTACTCTTGAAAACGAGAGACCGTTATTCTCAAACGCCTAAATCTCTAATAATGGTATACGGTCCAAAATAGTTGTAAAACAACAATGTGAAATAAACCCTAATGACCGATGTTTTTACATAAAGTCTGCCTTGAAGAAGTAAATGGCAAAATGTTTTCGGCAAAATCTCTTCAGGGGACAATTTTTAACATATGTTTGTATGACGGAGAGCAAAGCATTACCAATAATACGACCTAAACAATTTATCCCACAAATGTTTATTAGTTTACGTTTATAATTCAATGAACCACTCTTGCAGGTTTTCATTTGATCCCTTTGTGACTTTTCTCAATGAGTAGGATGTCGACAGTAGCAGCATGTATACACGGGGTATATAGCTGACCTGTTAACGGTATTCTGAATTCGCGTGCCACAACGTCACTACTATTTCATTCCACTCCAAATTTATGAGCTATCTGAAAATTTATGTGCCATTCGCGACGGCATAAAGACTCATTGATAATCATTGGGTGATTTGGTGTTCAGCCGGTGTTGGTTTTGCCGCACGTTAAATGTCCAACCCAATGTGGGTATTAGGGGATAATACTGAGGCGGCAATCAAGAGTACACATAAATCTACAGGCCCTTCAGTCGTGTTTACATCTGGTGATATATGTAAACAGTTCGGCAAATAATGGCCCTGGCCTATCAAGCAGCGTTTGCAGTAAGTCTTAACGCATTGCTGTCAAGCCTCACAACTGCGTGGACAGCATAGTGTTAAGTGAAATTGTCTTTTTTAGATACTTTAATTCTAAAAAAATACCCTTTCAAAATTTAATTTATACTGGTGAGTCTAAAGAGAAGATCAAAAATGTTTTAACATAACGTTATCATATACATGTATGTTATAAACTATTTCATAAACTGTTGACTAATTCCGACGTGGACCCCGGTTTTTGTCATTTTATGCTTATTTACTTTCTTAGCTATAAATACAGAAGTGCTTTAATTCTTGTAGACAAGGATAATTCGGGGAAAAGTGGCGAGGGCACTTCTCCGCCATGACGTGTGTCATGACCAGGAATGTGACTCGGCCTTAAGTTGACTGTAACAGAATATTCCGATGTAATGTCAATACACGATGTATATAGGAGTTGATTTAGGACGACGTAGTACAAATACTCTCAAGGACACTGTATATAAACAATATCCATTGTTCATGTCCACTAGAAGGTTGTTCCATGGTAGCCTTTCATCCTGTGTTCAAATCCGGGATAAGCATTTGACTGGGAAGAAAATTGCAGCCGTTACTTGCGGGCACCTATTGACAAGGATTCCGAGAGTAGGTCGTCTATTGCTGGGTTACTTGGACACAGGGGTATGTGAACCCGTCACACCAACAACGACTTAACTCTGTCATCAGACCCGCTGTTCTGACGTCGTATGCACAAAATATTATTCAACTCCGTCATCTCTCTCCTTCGCATGACGTCGGGCAGGCAGGAAGGGAGGGAGTTGAGCACAATATCAAGCCTTTTTCTGACATATGATGATTAGGTAGGACAAGGAATTTCCCATGTCAAGCTAAACTCTTTTAAACACGTGGATTAAGTACTTTATATGTGTTTTTTTACATAGCCTTGTTACATAGTTGTACATTAAAGCACACAGTAGTTACTTGGTGTAACAACGACACCAGCAACAAGTGCGAGATTTACCTCGATTATAGCCGTTTATACAGGTGTCACCTCGACTGTAGCCGTACATACAGGTGTCACCACGACTGTAACCGTACGTACATGTGTCACCTCGACTGTACCCGTACATAAATGTGTCACCACGACTGTACTATACGTACAAGTGTCACCACGACTGTAACAGTGCGTACATGTGTCACCACGACTGTAGTCGTACATACATGTGTCACCGCGACTGTGCCGTACATACAGGTGTCACCACGACTGTAGCCGTACATACAGGTGTCACCACGACTGTAGCCGTACATACAGGTGTCACCACGACTGTAGCCGTACATACAGGTGTCACTACGACTGTAACTGTACGTACAAGTGTCACCACGACTGTACCGTACATACAGGTGTCACCACGACTGTAACTGTACGTACATGTGTCACCACGACTGTAGCCGTACATACAGGTGTCATCACACTTGTAGCCGTGCGTAAAGGTGTCACCAAAACTATATCCGCGTATACACTCACGCGTCACCAAATCTGCAGCCGTACGTGTTGTCAAGTGTACGTGTGTACGTACAGGTTGTTGACAGTGGTGGACCAACTAAGGTGCGTTACTTGAGCCAGTTATCTGCAATACTTATCTACAATGCGATCATTGTGTTGTATTTTTAGCTTATCAGAGTGAAGAATTTCAATACTTTGCGGTATGTGTTGGGCCAGCTAATGGTATACTGATGTTCTCATCTATCGAAAAGAATCAAGTTATTTTTTCTTTAATTATAAGTCCCTAATCGAACTTAATACTTTACTGCATATGACTGAATATCTTGGTTTATCCATAATATACACTTTAATACAAGTCTTACATATTTGTATCAATCCTATAACATCAAATCGTTAAACAGAAAAATAAATATTTTTATTAACTACAAGATTCCAATTTCCCTGCCTAATCCCACGTCTAAAGCCTCAGTTGTTTTACCTGTGCACACCTGGCCAGGGTTGCTGGTTGACACTAGTTCTCTGATTAAGTATAAATCTAAATATTATTTTAAACGCGAGTCAATAAAACATGTCCTGGAAACTAGTACCAATCGTTTGTTTCAAATAATAGGATGATCTTTTCGGGTGTGTTAGATTGACCTTTCCCAGAGTGCAAACTTCAGTGTCGTGGTTTGTCATTTGCATCATGACAGGCGTCAATGCGTGTGTCATAATATGTACATGCATAATTATTTGTCAATTATAGGTTTACAGCTTCCGGTAATTGGTATAGCATTAAGAGAAA